CATCATGTTTGCTAACTTTTAAAAATCTTCTCTTCTGAAACTACCCGGCCTAATACTTCTAAACTTTAACTGAATGTTCCTTAGGGTAACTGGTTTATAACTAATATCTGAAGTTTTGATCCATTAACAAACATGGCCACCATGGCTAAAAATAGAACATAGGGGTCAAATGCAGTTTTTTGCTTTTATCTAAAAAACTATAGCAGTTAGAGCAAAAGTGACGAAGTTAAAGTGATGAATAAGTCAAGATCTACCTGCAATGAAATTTTCAGACCAATTGGACCACCCATTGTAGGGTTACTGTCCGAAATAGTTTATTTTTATGAAATTTTACTGTTTTTTGGTTATTATCTTTAATATTATAATAGACAGAGAGAAAGTGTAAATGGCAAAAATGTTCAGCTAAGTAGGATCTACAAATAAGTCAAATGATCAAAATAGTCAATTGACTCCTCATGGAGTTATTGCTCTTGAAACGTTTATTTTTTACATTTTTTCTTGCAAGTCTATTACTTTTTCAAAAATCTTCTTCTCTGTAACTACTGGACCAAATACTTCCAAACTTAAACTGAATGTTTCTTAGGGTATCTAGTTTGTAAATTGTATCCGAAGTTTTGATCCATCAACAAACATGGCCGCCATGTCTAAAAATAGAACATAAGGGTCAAATGCAGTTTTTGGCTTATATTTCAAAAGCATTTAGAGCAAATCTGACCGGATAACAATGTTCAATAGGTCAAGATCTATCAGCCCTGAAATGTTTAGACGAACCGAACAACCCATTGTTGGGTTGCTGCCACTAAATTGGTAATTTTAAGGAAATTATATCTCAAAAATTACAGCAGTTAGAGCAAAAGTGAAAGGTGTAAAGGTGATAAATGTGTCATGATCTATCTGTTATGAAATTTTCAGACAAGTTCAACAACCCATTGTTGCGTTACTGTTGGAAATAGTTTATTTTTATCAAATTTTACTGTTTTCGGTTATTTTCTTTAATATTATAATTGATAGAGAGAAAGTATAAATGGCAATAAATGTTTAGCTAAGTAAGATCTACATATAAGTCAACACGATCAAAATAGTCAATTGACCCGTTAAGGAGTTCTTGCTCTTAAAACTTTTTTTTTTTTTTACATTTTTTGTGAAAGTCTAATCACTTTTTCAAAAATCTTGTACACGACGGGTGCCACATGTGGAGCATTACCCTTCCAGTGCACCTGAAATCACCACAAGTTTTTGTCGCTCAGCCTGTAGTTTTTAATGTTGTGTTTTGTATGCTGTTGTTTGTCTTATGGTCGTTTTTCGTTTTTTTTTGTCATGGCGTTGTCAGTTTGTTTTCGACTTATGATTTTGAATTTCCCGTTGGTATCTTAAGCGTTTCTTTTTCAAACTATCTATGTCAGGGCTGTTTAAAGCGTACTTTACGGTATGTGTTTAGCTCATTGTTGACCTACAGTTGCTTACATATGTGTCATTTGGACTTTAGTATAGTAGATTCTAATATGATACTAAATCAACTTATTGTTTCCGACTATATATCTAAAATCAGATTTTTTAGGATTTTATAACATCTCTTTTTCATCTTTTAAAAGTTATTAGTGTTCTTTTTTTTATATGCTAAACTTTGATTATGGACTTTCATATTTTATTGTTAAAATTGATATATGTTGTAAAGCGCTTAGGGTAATTTAAATATTATATAATGCGCTGTTATACATACTGTATAATAATAATAATAATAATAATAATAATAATAATAATAATAATAATAATAAAAATAATAATCTGTGAAACAAATGTTGAAACAATCGAAACAAGAAAAAAGCCCGAACAAAACAATACAGGAAAAAAGAGTATAAGAGTCAAAAATTAACAACCACTAAACTATAAGCTCCTGGCGTGGGACAGTCACATCAATAATGCCATAGGGTAAATTAACAACCACTAAACTATAAGCTCCTGGCGTGGGACAGTCACATCAATAATGCCGTCGGGTTAATCAACAACCACTAAACTATAGGCTCCTGACGTGGGACAGTCACATCAATAATGCCGTCGGGTTATTCAACAACCACTACACTATAGGCTCCTGACTTGGGACAATCACATCAATAATGCCGTCGGGCTAATCAACAACCACAAAACTATAGGCTCCTGACTTGGGACAGTCACATCAATAATGCCGTTGGGTTAATCAACAACCACTAAACTATAGGCTCCTGTCGTGGAACAGTCACATCAATAATGCCGTGGGGTTAATCAACAACCACTAAACTATAGGCTTCTGACTTGGGAGAGTCACACCAATAATGCCGTGGGGTTAATCAACAACCACTCAACTATAGGCTCCTGACGTGGGACAGTCAAATCAATAATGCCGTGGGGTTAATCAACATCCACTAAACTATTGGCTCCTGGTGTGGGACAGTCACATCAATAATGCCGTGGGGTTAATCAACAACCACTAAACTATACGCTCCTTACGTGGGACAGTCACATCAATAATGCCGTGGGGTTAATCAACAACCACTGAATTAAGGGCTCCTGACGTTGGACAGTCACATCAATAATGCCGTGGGGTTAATCAACAATCACTAAACTATAGGCACATCAATAATGCCGTGGAGTTAATCAACAACCACTGAATTATTGGCTTCTGGCGTGGGACAGTCACATCAATAATGCCGTCGGGTTAATTAACAACCACTAAACTATAGGCTCCTGACGTGGGACAGTCACATCAATAATGCCGTCGGGTTATTCAACAACCACTAAACTATAGGCTCCTGACTTGGGACAATCACATCAATAATGCCGTCGGGCTAATCAACAACCACAAAACTATAGGCTCCTGACTTGGGACAGTCACATCAATAATGCCGTTGGGTTAATCAACAACCACTAAACTATAGGCTCCTGTCGTGGGACAGTCACATCAATAATGCCGTGGGGTTAATCAACAACCACTAAACTATAGGCTTCTGACTTGGGAGAGTCACATCAATAATGCCGTGGGGTTAATCAACAACCACTCAACTATAGGCTCCTGACGTGGGACAGTCAAATCAATAATGCCGTGGGGTTAATCAACATCCACTAAACTATTGGCTCCTGGTGTGGGACAGTCACATCAATAATGCCGTGGGGTTAATCAACAACCACTAAACTATACGCTCCTTACGTGGGACAGTCACATCAATAATGCCGTGGGGTTAATCAACAACCACTGAATTAAGGGCTCCTGACCTTGGACAGTCACATCAATAATGCCGTGGGGTTAATCAACAATCACTAAACTATAGGCACATCAATAATGCCGTGGAGTTAATCAACAACCACTGAATTATTGGCTTCTGGCGTGGGACAGTCACATCAATAATGCCGTCGGGTTAATTAACAACCACTAAACTATAGGTTCCTGACTTGGGACAGTCACATCAATAATGCCGTCGGGTTAATCAGCAACCACTAAACTATAGGCTCCTGACTTGGGACAGTCACATCAATAATGCCATCGGATTAATCAATAACCACTAAACTATAGGCTCCTGACGTGGAACAGTCACATCAATAATGCCGTGGGGTTAATCAACAACCACTAAACTATAGGCTCCTGACTTGGGACAGTCACATCAATAATGCCGTGGGGTTAATCAACAACCACTAAACTATTGGGTCCTGGCGTGGGACAGTCACATCAATAATGCCGTGGGGTTAATCAACAACCACTAAACTATAGGCTCCTGACTTGGGACAGTCACATCAATAATGCCGTAGGATTAATCAACAACCACTGAATTATTGGCTTCTGGCGTGGGACAGTCACATCAATAATGCCGTGGGGTTAATCAACAACCACTGAATTATAGGCTCCTGACGTGGGACAGTCACATCAATAATGCCGTGGAGTTAATCAACAACCACTGAATTATTGGCTCCTGGCGTGGGACAGTCACATCAATAATGCCGTGGGGTTAATCAACAACTACTGAGTTATTGGCTCCTGACGTGGGACAGTCACATCAATTATGCCGTGGGGTTAATCAACAACCACTAAACTATAGGCTCCTGACTTTGGACAGTCACATCAATAATGCCGTCGGGTTAATCAACAACCAATAAACTATAGGCCCCTGACTTGGGACAGTCACACCAATTATGCCGTGGGGTTAATCAACAACCACTAAACTATAGGGGTAAATTCAGTAAAAAATCTCCCATTGACTGTAATGCTAATCTATGTCTTGAATTAAATTTATACCTGATTTACCTTTAGAAATTAGAAAATTTCATATATCATTCATGAAAGTACAAATGTAGCCCTATCATTTGCAACAATAAAAACATAGGGTCATGCGGCATTTTTGGGCATTCACATGGCCTTGTTTACAAACACTGTAGATTCGTACTTAATTCCTTCACTGACCCCCACTACTTTTCAACCCTGTAGTAAAAAAATTTAGTACATTCAGCATTTATTTTTTATTTTTTTTCAACTCTAGTTTTTATCCATCTATCAAAAAATATTTATTACAAACATTATCTACCAATCAGAAGAGCACATGACTTCAGTTTTATACAGAAAGCTCTCCCCCAAATGGGCGGTCCCTGATGACGTATATTTATTTACTGAATTTACCCCTATAAGGGACTTTTTAGTAGCTTTTCCCTCTTTTTTTGTAATAATCATGTAATGTATCCAATTTTAAAGTTCCAGTTTCAATACAACATTCATAAATGCTGAACTTGTAAAGATAGAGGAAAATTTACACTACAGCCCATACTGCGGCCAATGTATATTTGGTATATAAAGTTGCATATTGACTGTTTGTAAAAGAATGGTGTAAAATACTATGCTTAATAAATATGAATTGTTTTCTGTGTTTGCTTTGACCAGTATTGCAAGTACATCTAGAAACTAAAGTCTTGATGTACTCTTAGTTAACTTTTGCCTTATATGGAAGTTTTTGATTAAATACCCTGAAAAGACCACAAAAACACTTTTCAAAGGCTTTTTTAAGCAGTTTCATACAAAAAAAACCAACAATTATGTTTCATTTTACTAAATTTGTGTTTTAATTACTTGTAAAGTTCACAAAATGTCATTGACAATCACTCTGCAGAAATTCCTGTTACCCCAACATCAGGATGGTTTCTTCACCAAAACTAGACAGACAAAACTGAAGTAGAAAAAAGTGCCAAATATGAAAAAATAAGACTGGGTATGACCAAACTTTGCATTTGGAAGATTAAAGTAACAATTTAGAATATTTAAAAGCAATTATTTAACATAGTAATCCAATTACAAACATTTCAACACTAGTTTCATAGATGATGGGCATGTAATCATAAAAGTTATCTACAATTTTTTTTAAATAAAGAAACGCAATGCGTTATGTAAAAATAAATGAATATCTTCATGCGGTCAGATTATTCAAGTGTTAAAATACTTGAAAAGTGCTTATTTACAACTTGTTCTACAACTTAACAAGGTGAAACACAGCTAAAAAAAATACACTGTCAAAGGGAGGTAATTCTGATTTTCCATATGATTTTACACATAATGAGGAGAAATATGTGCAAAATGTGTTGTAAAATGGGGGGAATATTTATGCCTTTCATTGATATCATAACTCTCAAGTGTAATTTCTATTGTTTCTTTCAATCTGGACACAAAAACTGATTTTTACCATATACCCCATGCTTCCTCTCACAGTACACTCAGTGCATCTTGGATAGCCGAGTTAAACATAGAAATTTGTGTAAAAAACAACTTCAAATGGTTCCAAAATGCTTCCATTACATTAATATACACAGGAAATAAGTTTTGTGATTATTGTGTGGCCTTGGACAAGTACAGTGACAGAATGCATATTTTCCTATAGGGGTAAATTCAGTAAAAAATCTCCCATTGACTGTAATGCTAATCTATGTCTTGAATTAAATTTATACCTGATTTACCTTTAGAAATTAGAAAATTTCATATATCATTCATGAAAGTACAAATGTAGCCCTATCATTTGCAACAATAAAAACATAGGGTCATGCGGCATTTTTGGGCATTCACATGGCCTTGTTTACAAACACTGTAGATTCGCACTTAATTCCTTCACTGACCCCCATTACTTTTCAACCCTGTAGTAAAAAAATTTAGTACATTCAGCATTTATTTTTTATTTTTTTTCAACTCTAGTTTTTATCCATCTATCAAAAAATATTTATTACAAACATTATCTACCAATCAGAAGAGCACATGACTTCAGTTTTATACAGAAAGCTCTCCCCCAAATGGGCGGTCCCTGATGACGTATATTTATTTACTGAATTTACCCCTATAAGGGACTTTTTAGTAGCTTTTCCCTCTTTTTTTGTAATAATCATGTAATGTATCCAATTTTAAAGTTCCAGTTTCAATACAACATTCATAAATGCTGAACTTGTAAAGATAGAGGAAAATTTACACTACAGCCCATACTGCGGCCAATGTATATTTGGTATATAAAGTTGCATATTGACTGTTTGTAACAGAATGGTGTAAAATACTATGCTTAATAAATATGAATTGTTTTCTGTGTTTGCTTTGACCAGTATTGCAAGTACATCTAGAAACTAAAGTCTTGATGTACTCTTAGTTAACTTTTGCCTTATATGGAAGTTTTTGATTAAATACCCTGAAAAGACCACAAAAACACTTTTCAAAGGCTTTTTTAAGCAGTTTCATACAAAAAAAACCAACAATTATGTTTCATTTTACTAAATTTGTGTTTTAATTACTTGTAAAGTTCACAAAATGTCATTGACAATCACTCTGCAGAAATTCCTGTTACTCCAACATCAGGATGGTTTCTTCACCAAAACTAGACAGACAAAACTGAAGTAGAAAAAAGTGCCAAATATGAAAAAATAAGACTGGGTATGACCAAACTTTGCATTTGGAAGATTAAAGTAACAATTTAGAATATTTAAAAGCAATTATTTAACATAGTAATCCAATTACAAACATTTCAACACTAGTTTCATAGATGATGGGCATGTAATCATAAAAGTTATCTACAATTTTTTTTAAATAAAGAAACGCAATGCGTTATGTAAAAATAAATGAATATCTTCATGCGGTCAGATTATTCAAGTGTTAAAATACTTGAAAAGTGCTTATTTACAACTTGTTCTACAACTTAACATGGTGAAACACAGCTAAAAAAAATACACTGTCAAAGGGAGGTAATTCTGATTTTCCATATGATTTTACACATAATGAGGAGAAATATGTGCAAAATGTGTTGTAAAATGGGGGGAATATTTATGCCTTTCATTGATATCATAACTCTCAAGTGTAATTTCTATTGTTTCTTTCAATCTGGACACAAAAACTGATTTTTACCATATACCCCATGCTTCCTCTCACAGTACACTCAGTGCATCTTGGATAGCCGAGTTAAACATAGAAATTTGTGTAAAAAACAACTTCAAATGGTTCCAAAATGCTTCCATTACATTAATATACACAGGAAATAAGTTTTGTGATTATTGTGTGGCCTTGGACAAGTACAGTGACAGAATGCATATTTTCCTATAGGGGTAAATTCAGTAAAAAATCTCCCATTGACTGTAATGCTAATCTATGTCTTGAATTAAATTTATACCTGATTTACCTTTAGAAATTAGAAAATTTCATATATCATTCATGAAAGTACAAATGTAGCCCTATCATTTGCAACAATAAAAACATAGGGTCATGCGGCATTTTTGGGCATTCACATGGCCTTGTTTACAAACACTGTAGATTCGCACTTAATTCCTTCACTGACCCCCATTACTTTTCAACCCTGTAGTAAAAAAATTTAGTACATTCAGCATTTATTTTTTATTTTTTTTCAACTCTAGTTTTTATCCATCTATCAAAAAATATTTATTACAAACATTATCTACCAATCAGAAGAGCACATGACTTCAGTTTTATACAGAAAGCTCTCCCCCAAATGGGCGGTCCCTGATGACGTATATTTATTTACTGAATTTACCCCTATAAGGGACTTTTTAGTAGCTTTTCCCTCTTTTTTTGTAATAATCATGTAATGTATCCAATTTTAAAGTTCCAGTTTCAATACAACATTCATAAATGCTGAACTTGTAAAGATAGAGGAAAATTTACACTACAGCCCATACTGCGGCCAATGTATATTTGGTATATAAAGTTGCATATTGACTGTTTGTAAAAGAATGGTGTAAAATACTATGCTTAATAAATATGAATTGTTTTCTGTGTTTGCTTTGACCAGTATTGCAAGTACATCTAGAAACTAAAGTCTTGATGTACTCTTAGTTAACTTTTGCCTTATATGGAAGTTTTTGATTAAATACCCTGAAAAGACCACAAAAACACTTTTCAAAGGCTTTTTTAAGCAGTTTCATACAAAAAAAACCAACAATTATGTTTCATTTTACTAAATTTGTGTTTTAATTACTTGTAAAGTTCACAAAATGTCATTGACAATCACTCTGCAGAAATTCCTGTTACCCCAACATCAGGATGGTTTCTTCACCAAAACTAGACAGACAAAACTGAAGTAGAAAAAAGTGCCAAATATGAAAAAATAAGACTGGGTATGACCAAACTTTGCATTTGGAAGATTAAAGTAACAATTTAGAATATTTAAAAGCAATTATTTAACATAGTAATCCAATTACAAACATTTCAACACTAGTTTCATAGATGATGGGCATGTAATCATAAAAGTTATCTACAATTTTTTTTAAATAAAGAAACGCAATGCGTTATGTAAAAATAAATGAATATCTTCATGCGGTCAGATTATTCAAGTGTTAAAATACTTGAAAAGTGCTTATTTACAACTTGTTCTACAACTTAACATGGTGAAACACAGCTAAAAAAAATACACTGTCAAAGGGAGGTAATTCTGATTTTCCATATGATTTTACACATAATGAGGAGAAATATGTGCAAAATGTGTTGTAAAATGGGGGGAATATTTATGCCTTTCATTGATATCATAACTCTCAAGTGTAATTTCTATTGTTTCTTTCAATCTGGACACAAAAACTGATTTTTACCATATACCCCATGCTTCCTCTCACAGTACACTCAGTGCATCTTGGATAGCCGAGTTAAACATAGAAATTTGTGTAAAAAACAACTTCAAATGGTTCCAAAATGCTTCCATTACATTAATATACACAGGAAATAAGTTTTGTGATTATTGTGTGGCCTTGGACAAGTACAGTGACAGAATGCATATTTTCCTATAAGGGACTTTTTAGTAGCTTTTCCCTCTTTTTTTGTAATAATCATGTAGTGTATCCAATTTTAAAGTTCCAGTTTCAATACAACATTCATAAATGCTGAACTTGTAAAGATAGAGGAAAATTTACACTACAGCCCATACTGCGGCCAATGTATATTTGGTATATAAAGTTGCATATTGACTGTTTGTAAAAGAATGGTGTAAAATACTATGCTTAATAAATATGAATTGTTTTCTGTGTTTGCTTTGACCAGTATTGCAAGTACATCTAGAAACTAAAGTCTTGATGTACTCTTAGTTAACTTTTGCCTTATATGGAAGTTTTTGATTAAATACCCTGAAAAGACCACAAAAACACTTTTCAAAGGCTTTTTTAAGCAGTTTCATACAAAATAAACCACCAATTATGTTTCATTTTACTAAATTTGTGTTTTAATTACTTGTAAAGTTCACAAAATGTCATTGACAATCACTCTGCAGAAATTCCTGTTACCCCAACATCAGGATGGTTTCTTCACCAAAACTAGACAGACAAAACTGAAGTAGAAAAAAGTGCCAAATATGAAAAAATAAGACTGGGTATGACCAAACTTTGCATTTGGAAGATTAAAGTAACAATTTAGAATATTTAAAAGCAATTATTTAACATAGTAATCCAATTACAAACATTTCAACACTAGTTTCATAGATGATGGGCATGTAATCATAAAAGTTATCTACAATTTTTTTTAAATAAAGAAACGCAATGCGTTATGTAAAAATAAATGAATATCTTCATGCGGTCAGATTATTCAAGTGTTAAAATACTTGAAAAGTGCTTATTTACAACTTGTTCTACAACTTAACATGGTGAAACACAGCTAAAAAAAATACACTGTCAAAGGGAGGTAATTCTGATTTTCCATATGATTTTACACATAATGAGGAGAAATATGTGCAAAATGTGTTGTAAAATGGGGGGAATATTTATGCCTTTCATTGATATCATAACTCTCAAGTGTAATTTCTATTGTTTCTTTCAATCTGGACACAAAAACTGATTTTTACCATATACCCCATGCTTCCTCTCACAGTACACTCAGTGCATCTTGGATAGCCGAGTTAAACATAGAAATTTGTGTAAAAAACAACTTCAAATGGTTCCAAAATGCTTCCATTACATTAATATACACAGGAAATAAGTTTTGTGATTATTGTGTGGCCTTGGACAAGTACAGTGACAGAATGCATATTTTCCTATAGGGGTAAATTCAGTAAAAAATCTCCCATTGACTGTAATGCTAATCTATGTCTTGAATTAAATTTATACCTGATTTACCTTTAGAAATTAGAAAATTTCATATATCATTCATGAAAGTACAAATGTAGCCCTATCATTTGCAACAATAAAAACATAGGGTCATGCGGCATTTTTGGGCATTCACATGGCCTTGTTTACAAACACTGTAGATTCGCACTTAATTCCTTCACTGACCCCCATTACTTTTCAACCCTGTAGTAAAAAAATTTAGTACATTCAGCATTTATTTTTTATTTTTTTTCAACTCTAGTTTTTATCCATCTATCAAAAAATATTTATTACAAACATTATCTACCAATCAGAAGAGCACATGACTTCAGTTTTATACAGAAAGCTCTCCCCCAAATGGGCGGTCCCTGATGACGTATATTTATTTACTGAATTTACCCCTATAAGGGACTTTTTAGTAGCTTTTCCCTCTTTTTTTGTAATAATCATGTAATGTATCCAATTTTAAAGTTCCAGTTTCAATACAACATTCATAAATGCTGAACTTGTAAAGATAGAGGAAAATTTACACTACAGCCCATACTGCGGCCAATGTATATTTGGTATATAAAGTTGCATATTGACTGTTTGTAAAAGAATGGTGTAAAATACTATGCTTAATAAATATGAATTGTTTTCTGTGTTTGCTTTGACCAGTATTGCAAGTACATCTAGAAACTAAAGTCTTGATGTACTCTTAGTTAACTTTTGCCTTATATGGAAGTTTTTGATTGAATACCCTGAAAAGACCACAAAAACACTTTTCAAAGGCTTTTTTAAGCAGTTTCATACAAAAAAAAACCAACAATTATGTTTCATTTTACTAAATTTGTATTTTAATTACTTGTAAAGTTCACAAAATGTCATTGACAATCACTCTGCAGAAATTCCTGTTACCCCAACATCAGGATGGTTTCTTCACCAAAACTAGACAGACAAAACTGAAGTAGAAAAAAGTGCCAAATATGAAAAAATAAGACTGGGTATGACCAAACTTTGCATTTGGAAGATTAAAGTAACAATTTAGAATATTTAAAAGCAATTATTTAACATAGTAATCCAATTACAAACATTTCAACACTAGTTTCATAGATGATGGGCATGTAATCATAAAAGTTATCTACAATTTTTTTTAAATAAAGAAACGCAATGCGTTATGTAAAAATAAATGAATATCTTCATGCGGTCAGATTATTCAAGTGTTAAAATACTTGAAAAGTGCTTATTTACAACTTGTTCTACAACTTAACATGGTGAAACACAGCTAAAAAAAATACACTGTCAAAGGGAGGTAATTCTGATTTTCCATATGATTTTACACATAATGAGGAGAAATATGTGCAAAATGTGTTGTAAAATGGGGGGAATATTTATGCCTTTCATTGATATCATAACTCTCAAGTGTAATTTCTATTGTTTCTTTCAATCTGGACACAAAAACTGATTTTTACCATATACCCCATGCTTCCTCTCACAGTACACTCAGTGCATCTTGGATAGCCGAGTTAAACATAGAAATTTGTGTAAAAAACAACTTCAAATGGTTCCAAAATGCTTCCATTACATTAATATACACAGGAAATAAGTTTTGTGATTATTGTGTGGCCTTGGACAAGTACAGTGACAGAATGCATATTTTCCTATAGGGGTAAATTCAGTAAAAAATCTCCCATTGACTGTAATGCTAATCTATGTCTTGAATTAAATTTATACCTGATTTACCTTTAGAAATTAGAAAATTTCATATATCATTCATGAAAGTACAAATGTAGCCCTATCATTTGCAACAATAAAAACATAGGGTCATGCGGCATTTTTGGGCATTCACATGGCCTTGTTTACAAACACTGTAGATTCGCACTTAATTCCTTCACTGACCCCCATTACTTTTCAACCCTGTAGTAAAAAAATTTAGTACATTCAGCATTTATTTTTTATTTTTTTTCAACTCTAGTTTTTATCCATCTATCAAAAAATATTTATTACAAACATTATCTACCAATCAGAAGAGCACATGACTTCAGTTTTATACAGAAAGCTCTCCCCCAAATGGGCGGTCCCTGATGACGTATATTTATTTACTGAATTTACCCCTATAAGGGACTTTTTAGTAGCTTTTCCCTCTTTTTTTGTAATAATCATGTAATGTATCCAATTTTAAAGTTCCAGTTTCAATACAACATTCATAAATGCTGAACTTGTAAAGATAGAGGAAAATTTACACTACAGCCCATACTGCGGCCAATGTATATTTGGTATATAAAGTTGCATATTGACTGTTTGTAAAAGAATGGTGTAAAATACTATGCTTAATAAATATGAATTGTTTTCTGTGTTTGCTTTGACCAGTATTGCAAGTACATCTAGAAACTAAAGTCCTGATGTACTCTTAGTTAACTTTTGCCTTATATGGAAGTTTTTGATTAAATACCCTGAAAAGACCACAAAAACACTTTTCAAAGGCTTTTTTAAGCAGTTTCATACAAAAAAAAACAACAATTATGTTTCATTTTACTAAATTTGTGTTTTAATTACTTGTAAAGTTCACAAAATGTCATTGACAATCACTCTGCAGAAATTCCTGTTACCCCAACATCAGGATGGTTTCTTCACCAAAACTAGACAGACAAAACTGAAGTAGAAAAAAGTGCCAAATATGAAAAAATAAGACTGGGTATGACCAAACTTTGCATTTGGAAGATTAAAGTAACAATTTAGAATATTTAAAAGCAATTATTTAACATAGTAATCCAATTACAAACATTTCAACACTAGTTTCATAGATGATGGGCATGTAATCATAAAAGTTATCTACAATTTTTTTTAAATAAAGAAACGCAATGCGTTATGTAAAAATAAATGAATATCTTCATGCGGTCAGATTATTCAAGTGTTAAAATACTTGAAAAGTGCTTATTATTTTGTCTTTTGGTAAGGGATTTTCAATTTTGAATTGTTCTAAGAATTGTCTTAGAGTTCGGTATTTTTTTTCTTTGGGGAAGTTGAAATCATCTTTTGGTCGTAAAAGATATAGCTATAAAAGCATAAAACACAAGTTATCTTTATTTCTTAACATGACTTTTTGCAGGTTTCATGTACTAGTATCAAAATTGTTTGTCATTGAAATTTAAAGTAACGGAAGCTATAAATCAATGCCGAGAAATGGAAGAATGGTCACTGGAAAAAATATGTTTATACTTATACGAATATGCATTTCCTACATTTAAAAAAAAGGTACATTTATATTAAGATTTGTCAACACATCTAATGTAGTATGAATAGTTTTAGATAATATCTTATTTAGATTTTTCCCTGGAAGAAATCACAGTTTGCAGATCCCTTTTACAAGAAAACAAAACAAAACAAAAACAAAATGTTCTATTAGCAGATACTACATCAACCAGTGCAAATATATCAGATGTTACAGAGGTCGCATCAATGTCAGCCAGCAAAGAAGAGCTGACACATAAATCGAACGAATCACAATCGTTCGATGCCACGTCATCTACTGAATGCTTCATGACAGAATCTGTGAAAGCCAAAAAACTGCCCGAGCCTCATTTTCAAACCTTACCTGATTGTGCAGGTAGTTTTGCATTAAGTATGGAAAAGAAACTATCAGGACAGAAAGCAAAAATAGTAGACAACGATGACACATATGAGTCAGATGTACCAGGCACACCCAGTACTTCAGAAAGGCAATCAGGTAGATTTGATTTTGATGAAAAGTGTTCAGATGACTTAAGCACTAGGAACGAACAAGTAGCACAATATTATACAACTGAAAACGAAAATTCGGATGCTGCGAAAGACAAGAAATTATATGAAGCTTCGTTTGATGAATACAAGTCAATGGACGATTCTCATGATGCTTCTTTGAAGTCAGATTTCACTGCTGATTTGCATATAGAAACTGTTACTAAACCTGGAATTATCAGAAAGCTAAAACATTTTTTTGGCATTACTAAACAAGTTAAAGAAGTCAAAGTGTCAATCACAAAGGACAAATTCTTAGAGAAGTCATCAAAAGTTGGAAGAAAGAAGTTACACAACAAAAAGATAGCACCTATAATAATCTGGGATTTTGGAGGGCAGGATGTGTTCTATTCTACTCATCAGACATTTTTAACATACAGAGCTATTTACATAATTGTATTGGATGGTAGTAGAAACCTCGATGATCCCTGTCCGTATGAACAGTACCTTCCAGGAAAGAGTGGACATAAAACATCAAGAGGTATGTAAAAACATACATACATTTGAAATACACACTGTTGTGAAACAAAAGTAAACAAGATAAACATCATTTCCAAATATGTTAAAAAAATACGCTTGTTAACTTAAACATCTTCAAATGTTAGTCCAGTATTGCAAGACTTAGCACTCAATTACTTTATTTAGTAGACAGTAGATTTCGTAGAGAACGTTTACATTCAAATGACTGTAATACCTGTCCCCTTATGTACAATCATTCTTTATTTTGTTTATTATAACAGATTATCTGCTATTCTGGATCAACACCATTGTAACATACTGTAAAGGAAGTATTCAGGGATTTCCTAAGATTATGGTTGTTTTAACGCACAAAGATCAGGTAAAAGCTGTAAGTATTTTTTGGAACACGTTCTACATTTGAAATGATGGACTGTTTGGATTTTGAGTAATATGCAGTACAAAAAAAATAATGTCTAATGATCGAATATATAATGGAGATTATTTATTGTTTTGATAACATAATCGTTATTGTACTAATTTGATATATAAATAATTGTTTGTTTAGTGCGTTTAACGCAGATCAAATAAATAAAAACGTTTTAGTTCACAATCAGTCAACTAGTCGATCTATGAATTTTCCTACCTAACATTGTAAATGTCTACATGACATGAGCCCTACGAAATAGCCAAATAAAATGCCAAATAAAGTCCTCATTTACGTTGTATTTAATATTTAAAGAAACTAGTTTTTTTATATTTCGTTTCTTTATAATAAGATACACACTGTATTCTTACATATACCCATTGAAAGGTGCCTGGGTTTTACTTAAATACGCCAGACTCATGCTTCGTAGATAGGGCAAGTGTCTAGAGAACGGTTACAAACATACTGGTTTATATTTTGTAAAGACTGTTATATAAGATACTCATCATCGTTACTTATGTATATACTGCTTGTACTGTGTAGTTGTTTTTGTTGTCTGACCTTCTCCAGAAACATGTTTTTTGCATATCAATTTGGGTATTGTCTGATCTAAGGTTGGATTGCTGCCTGGTAATTATGATTTTCCAAATGTTTTTTATTTATTCAATTTTTTTTTTTAAATTTGATTTCTTAATTTGGGTATCTATTCCGTATCTTTTGTTTTTGCTCCTATAAAATGATACCAGTGTTATAATTTTGAAATCCCGATTTTACTCGTTTGTATATGCAAGTAATGGTGTGATTTCGATAATTTAATTGGTAAATTAAGTAAATAAGCTTCAAGTAGATCTTACAATTAAATATTTTCATTGAAACATAAGTGATTGTTTAATATAAATATTTGGGTAAACATATCATATTGGTACTATTTTCAGAGTGAGGTTGAAACAAGACGACATGACTTATTTGGAGAAATCTACAAGATGTTTCACAAAACGCCATTGATGCAACAGTTGGTGATTGATGATAAAATATTTGTAAACGCTAAAGACAAATATGACCCAGAAATGGCGGCGATAAAGGCTGCCATCATCAGAGAATCAGAGAGGCAACCAACATGGGGCGAACCACTTCCAAAGTGCTTTATCCCGTTAGAATTAGAATTTGCATCGCTGATCAGACGCAACATTCCTCTAATTACCCTAGAGCATCTGAAGAAAATAAATTCATTGCAGCCTGTTAGACCATTGTCAGAAGTTGAGTTAATTGTATTTCTTAAATTTCAGCATTCCATTGGCAAACTTTTGTACTTTGATGAACATAAATTGGACGACAGAATAATTCTAACTCCCACTCTTCTCATTGATGCATTTAAATCTATTGTTACTGATAGACTGTTCTGCCAAGGAGACACAGATAGGGAAGAGTTGTGGGATGTAATGGGCAAGAAAGGGGTAGTCTCAAAGAAAGTTATCAAAACCGTTTGGAAGAAAAAGAAATATCGGAAATTCTACAAAGATAAAGACTACTTACTGGATGTCATGACCCACCTGGATATATTGGTAGAACCAAAACGATACGATTCAGATCACAACCGTATCTCTGCTGAGTTTTACTATGTTGCAAGTATGATACGAGCGGACGATGATTCTGGATACCTCCAATCAGCTGGTTTCACACACAGGAGTATTGCAATAGCCTTTCAATCGTCATCATTGATGATACCTCCTGCATTATCCTTTAGATTTATAAGCTACTGTCTATATGTCTGGGCGGTGAAGACATACGGAGAGCCCAACAAGGACATGCTGTTCCATAGGTCAGGAGTGTTCACCATTGATCCGTCGTTAGATATGTACATTGCCTGCGAAGATAAGATTATCATTGCCCGTCTTGTTCATGCCACATCAAACTCACTTATAATGAGGGATGTAGCTTCCAGTATCTATGAATGTCTAACATCAGCCTTAGAGAAAATAAGTCAGCTGTATATAAGAATAAGTAGCGACCAGACTCAAACCAGTGATGCATCCTTTATGACCCGGATATGTTGTAACTCACTAGATAACCCATGTTTCCTCCAAGTCAATGATCTAGCTAACACAGAAGAAGTGTGGATATGTCCTTCACATGGCATTGAACACAGGATACACACAATGACATCATGGATTACAGAAAAGGTAGTAATATATGTGATGGAATGTTTGTTTTTGTGGAAATGGCAGGCAAAATACTGAAATGAATACACACCTATATCGATTCGACATTCCACTTTTACATCGATAAACTTGCTTATCGTTTAGAATTATATCAAATTGACCGTTAAGATCCGAGAAAAAAATGTACTGCCTGATACAATGATATTTTTGTTTTCTGTTAACCAAAAGATAATAACAACTTAACGGTAATTATGATGATCAAACTTAACACCTTTTTTTGGTGAAATCCTCGAAATTGTATTCTTCCCGTTTTACTTTATCTGTCATGCCTTTTAAATAGATACACATATGGAAATGAAAAGTTACGATGCATATATACTCTGAGAACCAATTATAATGTACGAATAGGGAAAATGCAAAGCCTGATGTATGCTAATACAAAGATAGTTTGTAGATTTTACGATAGTTTTCCAATTTATATCCCTTCAATTTGGCGGTAAACCTTCTAATTATGTATACCGAATTGATGTAAAAATCAAATAATTGCCTTTCAATAAGTTTATGATTTACTTTTTTTCCTCAGGATGAAGAAAAGTGCAAACCTGGGTGCACAGGTATTGTTGAATAACGAATAACATCGTTTATAGTTTTATATTTTTGTCATTTTTTGTAGGACTACTAGCTCGCAGCGATGTTAAGGCAATTTCGATAAGATTTTGTCAGGGGCAGATAACCCCGTAAGGACCTCATTATGTATTCATATATTCATTAATGGCGAAGATTCCGTAAGCTGCGTCTATCGATGAAACTGTTATGAAATCAAATTACATACATGCCTGTTAACTAAAAACGGGTAGCCATATGATGTAATTTGTTTATCGAAACACGAATATTTTATGTTTGTGCTTTAATTATTATGGTTAACAGTTGCAATAGCTGTTTTTGTTGACGAGATTGTCGGCTTGTGGACCCCGCCTCCTTTTGCAGATTAACCAATCAGTAGACGATCGCCGTCAAGTAGATGTTTGTAGTTTGCAGAATGGAAAGAACCTTGCAGCGAAAATTATTTTCACTTCTATGTGAAAATCTAACCAGAAAAGTAAGTGTGAGCCTCCAAATATGTATTATTTATGAAACATACGTTGCTTGTTTTGTTAATCATTCGCTTCAGAAATAAAAAAAACTGTATACTTATAGATAAAAACGAGTTCAGTGTTGGCAAGCATGATATACGGTACACGTGGTCAAGGTGGTCAAAACGAAACTAGACTGCAACAAATATCTGAAATTTGAATAATTTATAGAATCCCGTCAATAAATGAACAGAATATCGAATGAAACAAGATCCCTCCATTATACCGAGAGCCCATTCTCAACATTTACCCTGAAATTCGTTTCTAAATTTCGTTTAGCAGGTACCTGCCAAAAAGGGGGGGATTCCACCGTTCACTTCTCTCCGGCACCCGCATTGCTGGAGCCATGACCCCTACTTTCATAGCATGGAGCTCTTAATTTGTAACACAGGGTACACAAACTTGCTCAAAAGGAAGCCTTGCAAGACATAATTATTTGGACTACCCCCCCCCCCCCCCCACTCTCTTTCCAACTTCTACTCCCACCATTTAATCAGTGTGAAGTCCATACTATATTATTTACTGCTTAGTGCTGTATTAATCAACTTTGAATTTAAAAGGGCGGTAAAGGGTTAATTTTATGCAATGTTTTCTATTTACCCAGTGTATATATTTTATTTCACTTATTTTCGTGTTTTGACGTTTGACCTCTCAATACATGTATCTCGTGTTTGGTTCGATGTGGGTGCTACATGTTCCCCTTTATTTATTTCCATGTTTCCTGTCGTACAATTTATTTCTCATGCTTGTCAAAAAAGATTTGCAATTCTATTGAATATTTATGGTTCATGTATGTGATAAAGAACTTCAAATTTAAATGTACTATAAATAATAATTTTTTTGAAATCGGATGCAACTTAAGCTGTTAAGGAAGTTAAAAGGTGACAGCAATATGATTACAACATCTTTATGTCCATTAAAAATGACTGCAGAAGGCTGAGTATCTGGGTAATTATTTGGAAATATCCTGGAGTGCGTCTTTCTCTGGAAAAAGCCTGTGCACCTTGAATAAATTATCTTCTTATCTGTGAACCAGTATTTTTTAAATCGTTACCAAGTCAGAAATATATATATAACCAATTGCAAGTTTATGTACTTAAATTGGTGGCTAAATTAAATAATTTTTAATACATAGTCAAAATAAAATTATAATTTCTTGAAAGGCTTTGTTAATGATTAACTGGGACGCCTTCCTAATGTTCCTATGACCGTCATTATTAGGAAGGAACCGCAGCAAAAAATTGAAGAAGCTTTTCATGACACAATAATATTATACTAATTAATATGTAGTTTGCTCATCAAGACTGCCCACTTTGACATATTCTTTTTATATATATGTAGGACTCTAAAGTGCGATGGTCACGCTAAAGTGCGATGGTGTCAGACGCTAAAGTGCGATCAGATGACACGCTAAAGTGCGATGATCTACGCTAAAGTGCGATCAGATGACACGCTAAAGTGCGATGGTGTAACGGGAATAGGATTCAGGCGATTGTTTTTGTTTTTTGCTGTGTTCATATTAGTTTTTCGTTTATTGTATTGTTTCTAAATCATGTCGTTGTTATTCTCTTTTGAATTGTTTTACACAAGTCATTTCGTGATCCTGTATAGCTTTCTATGTGACGTAAGCCAAGGCTCCACATTGAAGGTCATAACGTTATTAGGTGCATACATCAACGATATTTGGTCTTTGGTGGATATTTGTTCGTTGACAATTACACCACATCTTCTTATCTGTTTTTTTGTTTATTGTTTATTTTGTATATTAATCAGTCCGTTATCTTTCTCGTTTGAATTGTTATACACTGGTCGTTTTGATACTCTTTGGTCGTTATAGAATACTATCTGCGGGGTTAGCCATACGGTAACCTATATGGCATTTAGCATTGGATAGCGACTGGTCGCATTGGCAATCATATTATGATACAACACCTCTGGTCGTTATGTTACTGTCTTGTCGACGAGTATCCATCTCTTTTACGGACATGACGAACCATATTTAAAAAAATTGTTTTTACAAAATTATTCAATTAGAAAGTTTAAAAGTGGCTTTTATTTCACGCAAGTAAAAATTTGAAAACAAAACGTTTAATAATTTCATGCGTCCGAAGCGCATTTCTGGATTTACCTTCATCAGGAACACTCAAAGCCAAACATTTGAAATCCGAGGATGTATAAGCATGATAAGTACCGAAACAGTTGAAGAGCTATATGCTTTTCCAGTAAATGACATGGGACAAATTAAATACTTTGACACTTGGTGTATTTTGCCATTTTCGCTCTCTTTTATGGTATACACCTTCCCCTTTCTAATGTCAGTTTCAGTCTATGTTTATGAAAAGTATTTTTTTCCAGTATACTGACAGAATCATGTTTGTCCCCGCCGACACAGCGGGATCAAAGGTTTGCATTCTGTTACTGTGGATGATTTTTTGGGAAGTAACTCCTCCACATACACACTCTTCTAGCACCGACCAAAAATGTTCGGGATTGGGATCATTTGTTTCTTGTCTATTAAAAAATCTTTATCTGCACTAACATTCTCGTTTACGGGCATGTCCATTTTTGTTTGTACAAAAGGCTTGTGGCGTCATAATGCGATTTAAGTAACGTTGCAAACGTCAATACTTTCGCGAACATACGCACTTTAGCGTATCGCGGCATCAGACTTTAGCGTGTTCAATAAATAGCACAGACTATCGCACTTTAGCGTCTCAAACCATCTCACTGTAGAGTCCTACATATATATATAAGTTAAACAGTATTTAAATTGAATAAACACTGCATGCATCATCGTTCTAAAAATAGAGTATTACATAAAATATCTGAACTGTATCCCTGTTGGCAGGAATTAAAACCATTACTCAAAGATATATCCCCGGTAAACAGAAGGGTCAGTCCGCCCGTCCCATGAATATTTTTCTTTGCATCTTTCTCAGGAACATTACAAGGATTTCTGAAATTTGGTTTCAGGGTTTATATGTGTCAGCTATACCGTGTGATGCTTTTTCAGATTCATCACTGAACAACCTTTGTTTACCTTTTACTTTAAGGGTATGGGGGTATATTAGTAGCTCACAGATTCACTTGTTTGTTTTAAATTTTTTTTTGGGGGGGGGGGGGGGGGG